ATGGGCTTTAAATATTTTGGAATGACTATATGGGATGACTATATGCAAGCAGCTTGATGAAAACCACATTTTTTCCTATTGTGCCAGCCATGCCGTTTTCACTCTCCAAATTATGGACAGATTGTCCTGGAGAATATCTATGTGGTCAATCAGAGTTGACTGCAATGTGATGGCACATAAACAGTCAATCAATTGGATTAGATTATTCAGTGAAATGTAGCTCATTTAAAGGTAGTTTCTTTTCCCATTCCTTAAATGTTGTATCTTTGGAAACAGTTTTTCTCCAGTGTGTCTTTTGTAAACTATTTTATCTTTTATTGTTGACAATTCTGCTAAAAAGTTGTTTTTACTAATGTAGAATTTCTATAAAATATGTGGCTTTTCTCTCACTATGAGGCTTCTTAATATCTAATCAAAAAGCAAGTGTCATTCTTCATCTTTATAAGTATTGTGTATATTTTGAAATAAGAGTCAACACAAGCAGATAATTTGGACATTATTTATTTCATTGGGAACTGTGTATATGAAAGATAATTAATTTTCATTGTTTTCCTATTTTCCCTCCCTTTTTATATATCAGCAGCTTATAACAATATTATATACAAGGAATATATGTCTTAAAGTGTCCTTGAGATAGCATTTTTTCCTTGTATTTCATATTACATATTCTCTAAGTACTTCCTGCTGGTAAATTCATTATAGAAGTGCTCCATATATGAGTGTAAGTTTTGCACTATTAATGTATATAATGAATATAAATAGCATCCTATTTTGCAAAGGAGAATGGTTTCAATGTTTACTACTAAAGAGATTTTGAACAAAGTTATGTGGAATTTCTTTTTCTGAGAAGTTCAGAGTATTTCAAATGCTCCCTTTCCCATTCTGTTAACGTAAAACTAGGATTTTAACAGTAAAGCAATATTTTCTATCTGGTTTGCCAAAATGAGCTCATGCTTGGAAATCTCTTTCATACCACCAATTCCTGCTGAAGGATCTGACTCCAGACAGCAGGAACCTTGTGCTGCCTATAGGGCCTCCTTTTTATGTTTTTATTACAGCAACTCCTCCCATGACATCTCCTCTGTGATTTCTTTGTCCTTTGCTAAAACTGCTGGAAAATTCCCAATTGGTTTCTTCACCAGACATAGGCACTATGAGACCTTAGCTAATGACATCATCTTTGCCTCTGTGCATTTTCTATAGGGTTATAACCATTTAGAACTGTGTGTCATGTAGAGTGGTTTTTCTACTGAGATGCAGAAGAAAGTTTCTAGGGTACCAGATAAACTGTAAGAGTGAAAAAAATATCTCCAGGTTATCTTAAGTATATTCTTTCTACTTGTGTTTATCCATTATTCCCACAATATATTAGCCTATTATGTTGTTCATTCTTAAGGAGATAGAGGGAATGTTTGGCTAGCTCTGGAATTACTGTATCCATGTAAGAATCTGTTCTGGTCAGCCATTTAAAAATACATTACTAAGGAATAGCAAATCCAAGGCAAAAGAGGCATTCAAGTGACAAAATACTCTAAAAGAAAGAAAAAAAAATATCCTATGCTGCAGCCTAATTCTTAAAAGAATTTTGTAATTCTAACCTTAACTCCAGTGTCTCAGGATTTTTTTTTTTTTAAAGTAAAGGTAAAGATTGGTTAAATCGGCATATTATATCAAAGCACTCACTTTTTTTCTCTTATACAAAAGCCTAGAGTTTTTTTTTTAAAACAAAAGAAATTTTTATATTGACCAATGCATTTCTCAAAATACGATGTTTATTCCTTTTTGTGATTTCCATAATCCAGGGAGTTATAATCCAGGGAGTCCATAATCCATGCTCAATAGTAGTAACTGTGAGAGAGACCTCGGAGTCCTAGTAGACAATCACATAAATATGAGCCAGCAGTGTGCTGCAGCTGCCAAAAAGGCCAACACAGTGCTAGGCTGCATTAACAGAGGGATAGAATCAAGATCACGTGAAGTATTAATGCCACTCTACAATGCCTTGGTAAGGCCACACTTGGAATGCTGCATCCAGTTTTGGTCACCACGATGTAAAAAAGATGTTGAGACTCTAGAAAGAGTACAGAGAAGAGCAACAAAGATGATTAGGGGACTGGAGGCTAAAACATATAAGGAACGGTTGCTAGAATTGGGTATGTCTAGTTTAACGAAGAGAAGGACAAGGGGGGATAGCAGTATTCCAACATCTCAGGGGCTGCCATAAAGAAGAGGGAATTAAGCTATTTTCCAAAGCACCTGAAGGCAGGACAAGAAGCAACGGGTGGAAACTAATCAAGGAGAGAAGCAACCTAGAACTAAGGAGAAACTTCCTGACAGTGAGAACAATTAATCAGTGGAACAGCCTGCCTCCAGAAGCAGTAAATGCTCCAACACTGGAAGTTTTTAAGAAGAGACTGGACAGCCATTTGTCCGAAATGGTGTAGGGTTTCCTGCCTGAGCAGGGGGTTGGACTAGATGACCTCCAAGGTCCCTTCCAACTTTACTATTATTATTATTATTATTATTATTATTTAACTGAAAAGAGGTGTATTGGCAAAATTGTGGTGAATAATAATAATAGAAAATATTACTGTACTCTTTAATAACAGTATAAAATGTATGTCTCTCCTTCATTATTTGTTTCAGGAACCTGAAACTCATTAATATTGATGGTTCAACAACTTTTACACTGGCTGCCGGACATGCTGCTAAGTAAGGAATGTGCCCTGAAGGAATCTACCATCCCACAGAGGTTTACCCTCAATTGGACTAAATAATTAATCAAAGCCTATCTATTCATTTTTATATAAAGTTGAAAATATGAGTGGTTTTTTTTTTATGCACTCTGTCAGCCCAAATATGAGAGGAAGAAATCTTTTGCCTGTATCAGCTCAATCTGCCTGTATCAGCTCAATCTAGAGCCATCAACAGGCAGCACTCGCTACTGCGGACATCATTTGTGTTTCCTAAATTTTTGGATTGCTGATAAAGAATTAAGGGGGACTGGGAGAGCTATTTCGAACTGGTTAGCTCTCATCAGCCAGACATACCCTTCTGAGATTCGAATCTGGGCTGTTTGCTTAAGGTCAACACAGCTGCCTAACTGTGCAAGCAGCCCAGGTTCGAATCTCAGAAGGGTATGTCTGGCTGATGAGAGCTAATCAGCTCGAAATAGCTATCCCAGTCCCCCTTAATTCTTTATCAGCAATCCAAAAATTTAGGAAACACACACACACACACGTAATGAAATGATTAAAAACTACAATGCTAGTATTAGAAATGGCAAAATTAATTATCATATATATACATACTTACATTGTACATAAAAGAACTTTTCCCTGTAATCATAATAATTCAAACTATGTTACGAATCATTATTTTGATATTGTCATCAGAAAAAATGATCTATACTTCCTTAACAGAATAGTAATCACCAAATATTTTCTTACTTTTAGGAAAGACTGAATCTCAGCAAAGGGAAATCTGGAAGATGTGCTAAATTTTGAATGCAAAAAACAGAACAGATAAGAACAGATAGGAAATGTGAATCAGAACCCAAAAAGTAAGATGGAGAAAATGTGAAGGAATAGCATACAATTATGCTGTAGAGCAGGGGTCCCCAACCCCCGGTCCGTTGACCAGCACTGAGCCATGGCATACCAGTGTGGGAAGTCAGCAGCAACCGGCTCGCCCAAACAAGTGAAGCCCCATCCCACTGGATGTAGGCAGAACACGAAACCATGCCCCCTTTGGTCTGCAGAAAAATCTTTCTCCAAAGAACCGGTCCCTGGTGCCCAAAAGGTTGGGGGCCTCTGCTATAGAGCACAGATTTAAGGACTGTGTCTTACAACATTCATAGTCACAATCAAAGCGATTGGTGATTAATGCTGTTGGGAACTATAGTTATTCCAATATAGAGAAAAAAATGGAGGGTACCAACCCCTCCATAAATGTATATGACTTTTAATGACAAGATCCCACTCAGAAATTGAGGGAAAAGCTATTTAGGTTGAATGTTAAACTGCAGGGACAATCATTCTGAAATATATTTTTCATTTGTTGCAAATTATCTAATCTGGATCTGAGATCTACTTAACAATTAATTGCATTGAGTAGTAAAAGTACAAGGCTACAGCCTTTTCCTGAAAAAAAGTTGATTGAGAGATAAATTTAAGGGACATTTGGATTTTCAGATCTCTGAATCAATTGCAATAGATTGTATAATTCCTAATCACTGCACGTCTTACCTACAAACCAATAACCTTCTCCACCCCATCCTCATCCTCGCAGTGTACTGTTGGTGAGAAATCAGATTTTTTTTGTGGAACAGCACCGTGAGCCTTAATCAGTTCTGGAGTGCCCATTTGTCTACCTGTGTATGGCTTCTCTTTTTGCACTTGGCTTCACCTAGTAAATCTCAGGATTCTAGTTCCTAACAAAGCAGAGCCTACTAACCCAAAGTCTGCTCATCTTTGGAAAGCAGGGTTTACAGGCAATCTGGAAGAACCTTCACTTCATCCTTTCCAGACAGTGAAATATTCAGATGTAGCCCATGAAGCCCAGTGGAATGGGAGAGTCTGAACTCGTCGGAAAATGGGAACGACTGTTCTGATTAAAGCGGAGATTCGGATTTTTTTTAAAAAGATTACTGCCTCGGTGAAAGGAAAGTGAGAGGATTTTTTGGGGGGGGCTCTCTTTTTACTTACGCAGGTTAATCTAAATCACAATTCGCGCCTAAAAAAAACAACCTGCGCAGAAATGAAGCGTATATTGTGCCTCTGCCTGCAAACATGCCTGCCCGCCTGCAAACGTGTCAGCACATGTCTTTTTCTGAGCACGCACGCACACACATATGGAAGCGCGCGCCTTGCCTTGCGTTACTCCCTTCCCTTCCGTTCCCTCCCCTTTCCTCTCCTCGCGCGAGCCCGCCTAGGGTGGCTACAGTGGCAGAGATTGGTGTGTTTTTCTCCATCTGCGTCACATGGCTGCCCCTCCCCCTCTCTCCTCGCCCTTCCCTTCCCTTCCCTATCTCGGCTCGCCACTCAGCTCAGGTCACTTTGACAAGCTGGCGCTCTCCTCTTCCTCCTCCTTCGTCGCGCAATTAGCATATTAATCAGCCCAGCGATCGGATTCCGAGTCGGTCGGAGCGCAGGGTCGTCTCGCGCACAGCCAGGCCAACGCAGCCCAGCCCAGCTCGGCCCTGGACTGGCCGACGAGCGTAGGGAGAGAGGCATCGGGCTGCCCCACTTTCTGCGATTGCTGTGTATCCCGGCGGGGAGGCCCCGCAATCGGGGGCGACCTTGCCCAGGGATTGGGGTCTCTCTCAGAGCGGCGGATGCCAGGACCCGCCGAGCGGGCACGTCGCACCTTTGCTGCGCCAGGCCGGGCATGTAAAGATGTCAGTAGGCTGTGCATGCCCAGGTGAGTCTAGGCGCGCGGAGAAAGAGAAGGGTTGGGGCGTCCATCCTTTTTGCGAGTCCAGGGATTCTTCTTCCTCCTGCCCCTGCCCGGGCCCCTCTGCAGTTGGGAACAGTCGATCGGAAAACAGCCTCGTAGCAATCTTCCTCCTTCCAGAAAACGACAAGGGAGGCAGAAAATGGCATTTGGGAATTTAGGTTTCCCCAACGAGCACGGGCGCGGGAATTCGGTTTTCTGGCAGCAGGGGGGCAACCTGATACCGGTTTGGGGCTGGGGCGCCCGGTGCGTACGCTCTTGATGGTTTTTACTCGCAGTTAACTGTTGGTATCAGTTGGGAAAGAAGTCTGGGATTCCTGGCGGGGAAGGGAATGTCCGTTGAAGTTACTATTTTGATGGAGAGCAATCTCTAGGAGTAGGAAAAAGAACCTGGGGTACTAGAAGTATGCTGCAGGTAATCTGAAGAGGTGCTGGGCTATGGGTAGCTATAACCATGTTTCAAAAAGAGTTAAGAGCAGGACTTTCCTCCGTAGTTCCTATTCTCTAGGGTGTAGATCCTATTCTCTAGGGCGTCCCTGCATGGGCAGAGCATTGGCCAGAAGTGTTTGTGTTCATACCAGAAGGATGCAGCTGTGGTTTTCTGTGATCTGGCATCTCCTTCAAGGTGGAAATTGAAATCTGAAACATCTTTTCAGTTCAGGATCATGAATGCCCGTTATTGAAGGCCTGCCAGTTCTCGAGGATGTGGTTTTGGGTTTGCTCTGCTTGTGCCAGTGAAAAGCTTCACTGCCTGATGGAGGAGGAGCTGTGTGAAGGGACAGCTCTTTGCACAAAGGCTAAGTTGGCCTTTGTGGCCTGGAGCAAGATGATAAAGTCTGTTTATATGGAGGATGGGCAGGCATCTTCCACCTTTAAGAAACTGAAACCTGCACAGCTTTTAAACAGGAGTGGTTGGCATAGATACAGACTCATCATTGCTGAATAGATTATAGTGTACTCACCTCTGTCACATGAAACTTATGACAGAAGGAAATGTTACACTGTTAGGTAAAAAAAGTCAGCATTTATCTTGAATCAAGCTTGACTCCTAGTGACTTTAGGGATATGTCTTGTTTGCTTGGCAACAGTGTGGAAGCATTCTGTTGCTGTCTTCTCAACAGAGCCAACAACCTTGCGATTTCATGGTCATTTCCCATCCAAGTGTCAGGCAAGGCTAGCATTGCTTAGCTTCCCAAGATCATCCAAGACATTATGAGATAATGACATTGTGTGTTTCTTACACTGCCCCACAACTTTGCTGTGGAGCTTTTGGGTTATTTTAAGCTGCCTAGAGTGAGATAGATGGCAAATAAATTAATAAAAAATACTAGTCTTTGAACGACTTTAGCTGTAAAATGTAAAACCATCCTATTTGTGTTTCCTAGAGGGCATATAAACGTAGAGAAGGTTGAATTTAGGATGAGATATGTTCCAAAATTGGGAAATGCAATTCAGAAATTAGTTTTCCTTAGAAACAGGATTATTTCAGTTTCTCTGCTTGAAATAAATGAACTATGCAGAGTACAGGGATAGGTTAGGCTCTTTTCAACAGGCAAGTCTGACATATTTGGACACCTTTTCACTCCAGGTAGAGGGGTGAACTCCTCTACTGTAGTTTGACAGGGGTATGGTTTCTCTCTGAGAATTGCTGCAGTTCTTCCAAAGCATTCAACTCCATGCTGAGATTCTGCATGCTGTGGATTATCCAGGTGCTGCGTTGTATTCCTTGGTCCAGATATAGGTAAATTCCTTCAGTGCGTATAGAGCAGCACAATCATTCCTCCTCCCAGAAAGCAAGAACCGCATGCCTGCTCTGATGCTGGATATTTGAGTGGCCCACCTCTCTGATTCCGCCATTGCCCCCTACCTGTTGTCTGGCTGAAGCTATTTCCTTAGCTTGCAGCAATCCCTGCTTTAAACAAGTCCTTTCCTTTCCTGTTTCCCTTCCCCCACCACCACTGCCACTATTACCTCCTCCTCCTCCTCCATCTCCCGCTGGAAGCTGCCAGAGCGGCTGCTGCTTCCTCAAGCAGAAAGTCACGTGTTCTCCCTCCAAAGCCAGGCCAAACATTTAAAGCACCAGGCACAGCATGGGCTTCTCCCCCTTCCCCCATCCAACTTCCTTTCACACTTTTCCAGGATTTCACCTCTCTCTCTCTTTCTCTCTCCCCCTTTGCCCATTGACTGAAATGGAGGCTGGCAGGAGAGCTCACGTTTATGGAAACAGCTTCCTGCTCCCAGGCTGCAGCTTTGGACATACTGAGGGAATTTCACATTCATACTTGCTCTGTGAGGTTGAGGTTAATTCTTGCTACATACATCTGTAGCTAAATGCTCACAAATGTCTGTACAGGATAATGCCATTATTGCCCTTTTGCTTTCTAGCTGAGCCTTGGGGAGGGTGGAAGGGCTGTGATGCAGCAAGGATTTTATTAAATCTCTCCTTCCTACAACATGGCAGTAGAAACAAATGCTGTGTTGTTACTATGCCATGTCCCAAGTTATGATGTAATCATGTTTATAGATAAGGTATTACAATTGACCTGGGATTCAGAGGGCCTCTTTGGGCAATCAAATCAACTTGATAGTTGAATGTGGCCTTTTTTTAAAAAAAAAATGTGGATAAGAAATAAACAGCTGGGTTTATATTTTTGTGTATCTATTATTTTTCTTCTCAAAATTGAAGATTTCCTTGTGATTTTGCTCTTGGAGTTCAGGACAGACTGTTTATTGGAATGAAGAACAAACAAGCTCTGGTTCTGGCTTTCTGCCAACTGGAAACATTTATTGAACCTCTCATGTGGCTGCTCTTCTGGAAGGAGGGTGCATTAACTTGGAGGAGTTTCCAGCTGTGGGTGTCTATCTTTAAAGAGGAAACAGTGGCATTTGTAAGTTATAACAAAAGAGCTGCCTCCATTGGCCATTTCTACATATGGTGTAGCTCGGTATTTCTTCTATTCTCCAAAGGAGAAGGCAAAGCGAGTTCCTCATCGTCATTCTTTAGAGTGAAGAAAAATGTCTTATCCCAATATTTGATCCACTCATTTGTCTTTTGCTTTATAGTTCTTCAGTTTCCCAAATTCAGATTTTTTTTAAAAAAAAAGTTTTCCATTTTTAAAGGGAAAAGAATGGCAAAAGTGCATGATGGAGAAGGAGGGTATATAACTGATTGAAGCTGGTGCTGGGCATATGCTATCTTTTTGTCACTGTTCAGTCAATGAAGCTGCTCTGTAGAGTGCATGGTGATGATTTTCATGCAGTCAGGAGACTGTAAGAATTTCTACAATTGAACACAACTGAGCACAAGTAATTCAGTTCAAGGGGATTGCCATGGATAGTATCCTGTAAAACCATTTTAATGGGTTGCAGTGAGTCAGGCAAAAAAAAAAAGCCTGTTTGGAAAATAATCAAAATGTTTAGATTTGTGAATGCTTTCTGTTTTCATGTTTCTAATATGAAAAATTGACTGACAATTTTTAGTTCATTGTATATCACATGGTTATGCGATGAATCTATATAAATGCATTCATCGATCTACAAGTTTCTACTATAATATTGGTGGCTTGATTATCTGTTTCTCTAAACATTAATCAACAAGATGTAAGCTTGTCTTCTGGGAATAGTAAAATATAGGAATATTTACCTTGATGTAAAGGCATAAAGAGAATCTTTCCAACTCAGTAAATCTGTATATTTGTAAAGGTATGCATATTTTACAAAGTGTCTTTGAATTTCTTCCTCAAAATTTCCCTCTTAGGCACAATCAAGTAAAGACTTTGGGTTGGTCAGATCTTGTAACTCAGACCATTATCTGACAGGGTACCTTTTTTTTTTTAACCTTGAGGTAAAACTAACTCTAGCTTTTTGTTAGTGTGCTGCTGTGGATTTCCAAGTTAGGATTGGGCTACAAGAGCTTTTCTTTCTTGATGTAAAAGTGTCATATATTCCTGAGAATTCAGATAACCTTCCTCCCAAAGCTTTTTTTATTATTTTCACGTTCCTCTACATTTTTACGAATTAACATGGCCCTCTATGAAGTGGAGTGGGTGGATTATAATACATTTGGAAATAAAAGTCTTTAAAGGGTGGAATGGCAAAGAAATACCATATTACCTTATTTCACACTATACCAAAAAAACCTTTATGGTATTAAGAAACCATTTTCTTCATTGGCAGGGTAAGTAATGCAGTTATCTGTTATTGTTGTACATTACTATTAACTTTGTTGTTGTTTACTTGTGATATTCTTATTTCTCTTCATGCATTTACTCAAATTTGCTGTTAATAATACATTTAAAATATATTGAAAAACTCATATTTGCCTAGCTGAAGCTGCTTACCTGTTGTGTATCTCTCATTTCCACTGTTCATCTGATACAGATTGCAAGATTGTAGGATTAGTAATTCAATGTTAAGTTCAGTGTGAAATCACAATGATAAATACATTTTCAAATTACAAAGAAAGAGTAGTGCCTGCATTGCACTATTGTGTCCCAATGTGGGACTAGATTATTTTAGTCCTGTATCCTGATTTTATTATCTCAGACAGAAAATATGAACAGGAGGCATTACATTTTAAAACTGAATTGCCAGCTGTCATATTGGAAATTATAGCTCAAATTCTTCCCTTTCAGGTCCCACCACTTTCATAAACCAGGGTTACTCCTGCCAAATACTCTATCACTCATCTTTAGATGCACATCACAGCAGAAAATAAGGACCAAGTATCTTAAGCTATCTGATCCAGTGGTTGTACTGTATTCTGTGAAGGAAATATCAATTCTAACTTATTGTAAATGTTATCTCTGAGTTGTCAAGATGGATTAGGAGAGAGATCGAGGAAATAAAAGTGATCCATCCTTTGTTCTTTTTCTCATAGTTTTTTTAAAATATATTTGAGCAAGCAAGAGAGAAATTGTCCATAGAAGTATTTGATTCAGCACAATAGGAGCTTGAGTAAGTTTCTG